ATTCCAAGTAATGCCTAAATTTTACTGCTCAGCCATACATGCCTTACAAACCATCAAATTCTTGAATTCTTTAGGAATAACAACAAAAGTCCTAAAGAAGGCCAAAATTATGCGAATATAAAAAATGGATTTCATTCAACCCTCATGTTTTTGATGGCCTATAAAATCGTATAAATAGTATGCAATAAAATATAATTTAATTTTGTAAATAAAAATAAGAAAGTAAATATAATTAAAAACAAAAAGGATTCACTTAGATAATGCATAAATCCAGGCAAACAATGATGTTTTTGTTTAATGTATAAAAAATCAATTTAAAACAAACATCTTTTTGGTATAATTTAAATATAATCATTAAATGAATTATCCTTTGATTACATCTCATTCACTGCATTTTGCTTTGAGGAAAATGTTTGAATGAGAGGGTAATGAGAGTGTAATTGATCTGTGAATCACTTGTGTGCAGCTCTTATGTAATCCCTCGGAATCTTTAAGTCTAATTAAATTGTTTTACTATATTGTCCGATAATACCTATCAATGATACAGTAGGGTTGGCCCTTAATTCACAAAAAAACAAGTACTCTCTGACCATCACTTTCATTGTGAGTGTCAAATAATTTCATTCATAAATTAACCAGGCAACTTATTAAATTGAATGCTTATATTCTAATCGTTAAACAATAATTGTCATATTAAATAAGTTTACAGAATTACTTTTGATTATAAAAATTATCATATTTTAAAGATATATAGATTTAATTTTGACAAGAATTCACAGTACTATGTATTAGCTCATATGTACTAGTTCATATGTATTAGCTAGCACCGTTGATTATCAATTTGATAATATAAAGCACGGAATTCTTATCATTCACAAAATAATTGTCACACTTATGGTGCACACACCTCTAACTCCCCATAGAAACAAGTTTATTCAATTGTACTTCTCACAAATTTTAATTCAGGGAATATACATAGAATCGGCATGTTACTTTTCTCAAAGGGATAACAAAATATTTAAATTAAAATTACATGGAAAAATATTTTTATAATTAAATTATTTTAATAATGTTAATGTGTAGAATGCACAAAATAAGACTAATTTTTCAGTGTTAAAACTATTTAAAGTTATCAGTGTTAGTTTATTTAAAATTATTAAATAACTTAAATAATATCTTTAATGTACAAAGCATGCTTACCATTAAAATTATATAATGCTGAACACTTAATCAAGATGATTTAACAATTTGCAATAATTAATATAGTTGGATGAGTTTTTCAAATATAATACTGTGTTTAATAGGGAAATGTAGGCAATAGTGAAGTATTGCCTCCCATTTGACGGACCCAATAGAGAGTGGTTGTGGTGTAGAGGTGTTTGACTCCCATCTGATGTCTATTGTATGACTTCATAGCAAACAAAAGTACAAAAGTCTGACATTTGTATGGTTTGTATTGAGAGGTAATGTGAAGACACGAGTGATCACTAGATCTCTATCATTGATAACAATCTCCTTTTGATGGTTAGGAGCTATTAGTGTCACTGATATGAATGGCCACCGACTGTGAGAAGCGATGAAACTTCTGGAGAGCAGTCGCTTCGAGGCACTCAACTCTGCCCTTCACTTCGATGCCCAACAGTACCAGATAGTGGCCAGGTATGTGTCACCACAACACTTCCACTGACCATCACTCATGACATGTCTTGTACAGAGTGGAGAGCTATTCGTGCAAAATGGCGGGCAATGACAAGAAGCTCTACAAGACTATGAACGCTATGGAAGGCAACGATTTGCAGGCCTTATCACCGCCGCAGACGGCTATCACTCCTCACTCGCACAGCCCTCACAAGGCCTACAGGTATTGATGGCATGAGTGGACACCACCGATGAGACACTGATTGCACGATTCATTTACAGCCGAAGCGCGAGCGATGGTGACGGAGAGGGCGGACACCTGTGCGACACAATCAGCCGCAAGACTCTCTTCTATCTGATCGCCACTCTTAACGCTTCCCATCCGGACTACGACTTCAGTAACTCCAGGAGCGATGAGTTCAGCAAAGAGCCCAGTATTAAGGTATGCACTGCCAGTCCATTCACACCACACGCCACATACCAGTCCTTTGCATACCT